CACAGACTGACGGCAAAAGATGCTGATGATCGTCCTGTATTGACAGAAGCATACACGGACAGAAGGCTATAGGTGCTTGCGATGATCGCCTTGTTCTGAACAACTGTGGGTGCTGATGATTGCCCTGTACTGAACAAAGCATACACAAACAGATGACTATATGTGCTGATGATCACCCTGTACTGAACAAAGTATACACAGACAGAAGCATACACAGGTGACTATATGTGCTGATGATCACCCTGTACTGAACGAAGCATACACAGACCGACGGCGATATATAGATGATGATAATCTCCCTGAACTGAACAACTGTAAGTTGTATAAGTAGGAAGGAGACAGATGAAAGAAAATTTATTGATTAAATTTTTTATCCGAGAACGTCGATATTGATCACCATCGTAAGGCCCCTGTCACACTGTTGCGAATAGAGCTAACGTGTGCCCGACGTGGTTTGGAAATTTGGGTATAGGTTCGTGTAAGTTGGCATTCGTGTGCAGAGGTGTGGTGGGGACTAGGAAATAATTTGAGCCTTTTATAAGGTATAGTGATCAATACACTTAACACAAGATTCGTGACATTCATTTTCAAATAAAACTACTTAATAAATATAAGAGACATAACGTGCGCACGACGATTGCCAAAAAGGAGACATTATTCAAGAGCTAAATCTGCCTATTTCAGGTCTTTCTTTAGGTCTTGAATGCTATATATATATTATTATATACGACATTTATTAAAGGGACAATAACACTCTTGCTAGCTTGAAAGCTCCAGAAAATAAATAATATCTCTATCTAAGTACTAGATGTTTAAGTGTCCTACCTGTTGTGTAAATTATCCATTACATCCTATTTTACTTATCCAGAGGGTTCGAAAATATTTTTAAATCGAAGTTTAATTTGAAATGGTTTACGTTAGACGTTTCAAACCATTATGTTGAATTTTTCAAAATTTTTAAATAAGGTGTGTTAAGATGAAATTTGTATCATCAATTAATTGAAATATTCTAAATAGTACAATTTGTTGACCAGAATAAAGATTGGGACATATTATTCAGTTACAACAAGAGTGGTATTGAGCCTTTAACATGACAAGACCGCAATCAACTCCTTATACCATCGGATGGCGAGATTTAATGTGATTGAAATACGATCACCATTAATGATTTAATTTAAAAATGGAGAAGCCAGACTGAGCCTCGAATAACAAGTAACGTTGCTACTATAATAAACAATCTGCACCACAGCAGTATTTTGAATGACATTTTCAATATATTCATTTTACATTATCCATTTTTAACTCTTATTGCAAGAACGGTCAGTTCTTTATCTAATCTCCCATAATGTATCTTATATAATATAATGAGAAGTCGTCATATATACAATTGTTTAAAGGGCGTATGGCACTATTCTTTTGAACATTAAAATAGACAGAAATGTGACTAAAAGCACATATCAATGTAATATGAATGTACCTAAATTGATTTATATTCATTTTTGCTGTACTTGGGATAGATTTGATTGAACGTGAAGAATAGACACACTCGCTCAAAAGCTCAAGTATCAAAGTCAATCCAGCAATGGCCAGAGAGTGATGTCTCGGGCCATTGCTTCAGGAATATGCCTTACTTGGGCTCTGAAAGAGGTAGGCCCGAGATACTACCAAGTTATGCAGTTATGCAAATGGAGCAGCTTTTACATTCGTTATATCTGAAAAGTTTTAAGTCGGCTAACTTGATTTTGAGTTACTAATATGTGCAAAAGGTTATGCCGAATCGATGAAGATATATTTTTATGCATTTCAGCAGGATTTTGAATTTCTTTTTGGAAGGAACGAGGCCTATTTTAAGGCTTTATTGGTGAAGCGCGGTTTCTGGTGATTTAGGGTTCCGTGAACATTTCCACAATTTGACTTCCGATATCACGCTTACACTTTTATAACCAAAATATAACAGTAGTAACATATTTATATTAATCGTCTTGTGTCAGTATCATTAACAGTCCTAAACAACATCCAGAGTCGATCCAAAGGCAAACAAACCTTCACTGTCACCTCCGCCTGACGATGTTCTGATTTTAAAGATGTTACATGCATTAATAAAGAAATTAAGTTTGCCAGGTGAAACTAAAGTCATCCAATCGTAGCTAAACACAAAAACATCACAGAATATCTCAACGCTTTTAGCTACGTTCTTGTAGCTAATTCTAGATGCTGAGGGTTTTGAAATTTAGTTTGGTTGTTGATAAGGCGATGGCATGTATTGGAATTAACTGATTTCCAATAATTTCTTCCAGAGTATTTGGGCACCATAATCTTTTTAGCTCTTGTTGATTGTGTCGTCTCTTTATGCACTATTTGGATTTGTTAGAAGCAAATGGCGATGGAAAATTCGACAATTTTGTATACATATAAACGTTCTATGTACAAAGGGTGCATTTAGGGTTATTATCCTTGAAAACTTTGGGGATACTCAAACATCCCGGATTGCAATAGAGTGCCTTGGAATTCAGTCCTGTCATAGATCTGCCATCCCGACTACTGAGGTGGTGTGAGTCGAGTCGTGGCGAAATGAAATGAAATGAAATGGGGTTTAACGTCCTACTCTTCTGCTCCTAAACTGGGCTAATGAAGACGGGCATACGCCATACAGTGTGCTATGAGGGAAATTTTGCCCGGGCAGCGGCGCTGCGGCCTACTCTTATATCGAATTCCAACTACCAAGGGATCTTTTACGTGCACGCCAATATGTACACGGGACTTCGGTTTTTCGTCCCATCCGAACGACTAGAAAGCTGTCCTTGTCAGGCCCTCCGTCCTGCATCACTGACAAGGGGAAACCACGCCGGAAAATCTGGATGAACACCCGACCTCCAGGCTAGCGAGTCAGCGTCTTACCCACTTAGCCACGTGATCCCCTCGTGGCGTAATTAAACACAACGAATATATTTCAGCAGTCATGGTTAGTTGAGATATTGTCTTTTGTAGTCGGCGAGAGAGAGACAGGAGAGAGAGAGAGGGGGGGGGGGAGAAACTAGGCCATTTCGGGACTAGCATATTGTAAAATGTTATTCAATTAATTAATGGGAGGGGAGGAAACCGGAGGACCCAGAGGAAACCCACAATGCTGGACAGACGACCTTACTCCTTGTCACGTACAAGCGTGGAATCCAAACCACGCCACTTACCCCAATGATAGACCTTATGATGCAACGCCAACCAACCCTTCCTGTCTGGCGAGGACAGTGTCTATAGTCATTTATGTAGGACAAAAAAAAAACCAAAGCACCGTGGACGCGTTGGCGTGCACTTAAAAGAACCCTTGAAATAAGAATAGGCCGTAACGCCACTGTCATAACAAATTTCCCTCATAACACACTGCATGGCGTACGCGCGTCGGTGCAGATAAGTAACACCTTACAACTCATCTCATTTCATTTGCTAAGGGTAGTTACAATATTTGTAAATGCTGTAGAAGGCTGAAATGTTTATCAGACTTCAGTAAACAGATTTATTTTTTATAAACAAAGGAAAATATCGTATATATACATAAATAACCATGGCGTCAAAACCAGAGGATTATAAAGACATTGTATTAAGCGGATTATAAGTTTTATTAATCAAAGTCGATTAATTCATTGATTTTACTTTTTAATATATTATTTTCTTTCATAAATACATTTCATAAATAAGCTTTTATTATATTTCATTTAACCAAAATAGATTAGGTTAGAGACAGCAAAATTTCTTCATTTTTTAGTTCGTCCTTCAGTATTGAAAGTCGTCAAGGATAATGCCTGGTCATTCGGATGGGACGACAAATCGAGGTCACACTGCAAATTTGTATACCTGTGCCCCAATTAGTTACAAGTTGCAGAACATAATACAGCTCGGATCGTACGTGACGGGAACTTCAGAGAGAAATCATATCACCGAAATGCTAGTTACCCTTTTAAGAATTTGCTATTTGTGTAAGCTAGAATAGACTATAAAATCCCCATAAATGTCTGCAAGACTTAATAATAATAATAATAATAAAAAAAAACATATTATAAATATAACATATATATATATTAACAAAAACAATTAAGAAAAACCCAGGTTGAACATTATAAATATAACATATATATATATATATAAACAAAAAAAAACCAATAACACCCCCCCCCCCCCCCAGGTTGAACATGTATTTACAGATGTACATTTTTTGGGCACATAAAAGGTGGAATATGGCGTTAAAGATCTCGAAGATTGACTGTAACAAGTTTATAATTAATACATTCAACAATGTATATCGATTGTATCAGGTTAATCAAATCGGGGAAATACGGTAATTAATTTTCATTTAGATATTTAATTAGACTTAGTTTGTGGACATAGAGAAATAGTGAAATTTGGGATTAACGTCCAGTCGACACAAACTAGGTAATTTGGGGACTAATAAAAGAACTCTTTTCTGTCTGTAAACAGCCTGTGCCTAACTTTAGATCATCTACAGATTCAACATCTCTGTTTCAATATTTATTAAAAGGTCTATGAGGAAGATTAACTAACACTTCATGATGTTATCATCTGGAATAATCTTCCAAGATATATTCAGAAAAATGGAACATTCACTGGTTTTAACACAACATTGAAAGTTCATCTCTATTTACTAGATTACTGTGCTAGAACACTATACGGGGTTTGTTTTTGTTTTTTTTGTTTTTGTTTTTTGCAATGCGCGTACGGATGACTATCGAACGAGCACGATTAGTTCTAGTAAAGACATTTATTTTTATGAGTTTTACTATACATCCCAGTTTGTGAAACACAAGAAAAGAAAACCCACAACTAATATTAATTTCCAATTTTCCATAGGCTGTGGGCTTCCCTTGGCAGCTTTGAATGAATATCTAATGACGAATAGCGACATACTTGCCGTTATTTTAATATCTAATGACGAATAGCGATACCTTTTCTATACTTAAACTATCTCCTTAAGCTAAAGAGTTCCAAAACATGACATAGTGTGAATTATAAACTATCGTATTATTTCCCTGGCTATGCAACATCACGTATTCTCGACCTAATCAAAGCTAAACTGTACGGTATATATAATCAAATCTAAAGAATACCTACACCGTTATTGGTTACCCTACATTTATCAAGTAAAATTAACAAGTTCATCAAGTCAACAACAGAGTAGAGACCGAGTTGAAGTCACTATCACTATTCAAATCAATATCAGGGGTGAGTCCGGTGAGTGTTTTATTTTAGGAAATTGACCAAGACATATATTAAAGGGGTGGGGCTGGGCTGACAGAGCTGCAGCCAGGATCAAATATTATTAAAGGGTCTTCCAAATTTGTTCAAAGAAAAAAAATTATGCCATAAAATACGTCATTTTTTTAGTTGTATTTCAAGGATTTGTGCCAAAGAAATCTATCGATAGGCTATACTCACTGTACGACAACTGTCCTATATAAATTGTCTTATATAAATTGTATCTGTATAAGTGTGACGGACTGGTGACCAGAATATGCCCATTTTACACTGTTGATGCACAGGCCCCATTGCCCAGTGAAAGTGACCTTTTCAGTCAGAGGGGCTCCGTGATGAAAAAATTTTCTTTTTTTTATTTTGGCCATGTATAAAAATCAGTGATTGTTTTCCATATAAATTTGTGTTTTTATATTATATGTTCAATTACTAAATGCAGTATAAGAATTTCAGTAGGCCCACATATGACGGGGGATTTGAGTCAAAAGTCAGTGCTGTGTTGTTAGTGCTTTTACATCTACAATGTTGCAAATGTTAAATGTAATGTGTAAATTTGAGGACATTAAATTTAACAAAATATTGTAATACTGACAAATACATCGTGTAAATTGACATCTACGTTTAGTCATTAAACATTTCACATTAGACATTTAAAAATTTCCACAACAAGCCGAACTCCATTTACCCAGATCTTTAAACACTGAACTCTCACATCTTCTCATATGACACGCGCACTATGTATTGTACCGTTCAACATTTCACTTTTACATCGTAACACAGAACTCACAACATGAAATTAGCCAGTATGCAAATAAGTTCAGACGGTACCTATTTTTAATCACGTGACATCTCGCGTGAAGAAAACATAATTTTCAAGCAGCGAATTTCCCCCGGCATAAGACCTGCAAGCGCGTGTTGATTTCATGATTTTTTTTCTACATAAAGAAAGAAAAGTAAAATATCTCGGCTTCCACATATAACACAAGAGATTGTTCGTAGAATTCATAGACTTTACTACGAAGAATTTTACTCTGAAGTCGCAAGGGTTTTGTGTGAACGTGTGTGACTGCAGTCCATGAGCAATGTGGACATCGAAAGTTGCCACAACAACCATCCTGCCCTTCATGAGAAGTATACATTATACAAAATATAATAGCCCAACAAATAAGAGGAGAAGAATGAACAATGGCCCATGGATGGGTATTATATAATTCATAAACAGGATAACATTATAATGCAAAAGATGACAGCACCAAAAAGAGAGTCATACAGCTTAGATCTCGCGTGATTAAAAATAGGTACCGTGTGAACTAATTTACATACTGGCTAATTTCATTACTTGTTCTGTGTTACGATACACAAGCCATATATGTCGAAGGGCGAGTGTCAAATGGACATGTAATAGCACGAACACATAGCACTGACTTTTGACTCAAATCCCCCGTCATACCCACATGTAGGCTATTTGGTATGTCATATGTTGTGTAAATGATCATGAATGATCAGCCTCCTATGAGGATAACCCATATTAAATTAAAACTATGCCTAAAATATTTTAGAGCTCCTGTAAAATTTCATTTATCTAGGGTGTTTGTAAAAAGACTCAGCGTCTGCAGACAAGTATTTTATTCGCTGGTGGAGTGGGGTTGGATGGCCGAATGGTTAGCACATGCGCGCTGTATCATAAAGTCTGTCATTGAGTCAACTGGCGGGGATTCGATTCCCCGGTTGTGAGTGACACGGAGTAGGGTCGCCTGTCCAACCTCTTGGGTTTTCTCCGGGCCCTCCGGTTTCCTCCCACTGCTAAAGACCCCTACGCGCAAGTGAATTATGGAAATAAAATTAAACCATATGTTAGTCCCGAAATGACCTGGTTTGTGTCGAGTGGACGTTAAACCCCATTTCTCTCTCTCTCTCTTTTAATTTTCTTGTTATTGTTTTTTTTATTTTTCCTTTTAGTAAATATCTGTCTTGGTTGAAGCTATAGGCTAGAAGTCCAAAGATGCAATTTTGTGCCAATAACAGTGATTGGCTGGACACGTGGGTGAATAAAGGAATAAACTTGTGTTTTTACGACTCTTTAACCAGTGGTATTCTTCTTTTGTTTATCCTACTTAGTTGTGTTATTCAGTGTACCATATATAGCCATTACGCAATAAAAATCACAACGCAAATAAAGAGTTCCTGGGGGTATTGGTTGCAATGCATAGTGACGACTATTTTAATGTTGGAGGCATTGATGCACATGATTGTCCAAGACAGTGCTTTTAACAATGAAAGAATTCTGGGATATCAAGTATTGACAGGCGTGGCGTTAATCGTTTGCTGGTTTCTAACATTACGTTTAGTCAGCTTGGAGAGAAATTATATGCTACCGTCCCTGCCATCGCGCAGTCATCAATTAGCTCTGTTGTTTTTCTGGGGTTTAGCGTTAATGAGGGAAATTCTAGCAACCATATCATGGTGGAGTTCTTCATGGTGGTTCCAATTAAAAAGGTAGGCACAATATTATTATCAAGAGTAGCTTCCTGACACCCAAGGGGTTAAAATCGCAATGAATGGAGAAATTTCTCCCAAGCCTGGAAATAAGGCACCTGTCACACTCACAGACGAGTCAGGCACAGATTCAGGATTTGTCAGGCACAAAATCTCTGGTACCGGTACCTGTCATTTTGTTCGGCACTGATTTGTCTTTTTTATTGATATTATTAAGACATGTCCGGCACTAAGTTGAAAATGTCACATATTATTTGATTAGTACCTGACAAGTCAGGTACATCTAAAACCGTTATTTCCAGGCCTGTTCTCCCAATTATATTTTCATTGTCCATGCAGATTATTTAATTTTAAGACGTCTTTTGATATTTCTGGTATGTTCTGAGAAATTTGTTTCAAATATATATTTTACTGTTCTGACAGTTGAATTAATTTTTAAGGCATCTTTTTGTATTTAAATGTTGTGCTCTGAGAAATTTCTCGAAAACACATTTTTGCTTATCCTACAAAAACTATTATATATAAGAGGCAAAGTCAGTTTGTCTGGGGGAATAGGGTATTTCTAGGGAAAAATTTGGTAACATTGATTAACGAACATAGCAAAGTCAGTCAGAGATAACGACAAATTACAATCATTTTATGATCCTTCATCAATTTTTTTTTTATTATTTCTGGTTCTGAATCCCGAGCAACTGCTAGTTAATGATCTCCTGCCCTTGTTAAACCGTTAAATCATTACCATTGAATTTAATTAACCCGTTAAGTGTGTAGGGCGTTATATAATGTCCTGGACAACTGCCACTCATTGTGTGTAGGGCGTAATATAACGCCTTGGAGGTATTTTCCCCAACCTATTCTTAGAACATAGTTCGTCACTTGGGGGAATCCCTTGGGAGGTATTTTCCCCAACCTATTCTTAGAACATAGAACATAGTTCTTCATCACTTCGTCAAATTAATTACACAATAGGGGGTAGTTAACATTTTAAAAACGTCACGCTTAACGGGTTAAAGATACATTATGTAAGATTTATATGAAATGCTTTTTGCGGATTGGAACAACATTCATACAATTATAGAAAATATATTTCATTATTTCAGTGAAAAAGACCAGGTTGAGTTGGGTTTCTGGTTAGTTCGATTCCTCTTAACGTTAACCGCGTTTATACTGGGATTAAGGGCACCAGCTTTAAACCATTTAAATTATGAACTACTTGTTAATAGTTCTCCTGAGGTAGGTTATATAATTATTATTAGATGCTGCTATGGACACGATATCTGCTCAGTAATATTAAGGGGGTTTGGATGGCCGAATGTTTAGCATGTGCATGTTGTATCATAAGGTCTCTCATTGAGTCAACTGGCATTGTTTCGATTTTCCGGTCCAACCTTGTGGGTTTTCTCCGGTTTCCTCCCACTGCTAAAGACCCGTACGCGCAAGCGAATTATTTGAAATAAAATTGTACCTTGCGTTAGTCCCTAAATGACCAAGTTTGTGTCGAGTGGACGTTAAACCCCATCTCTCTCTCTCTCTCTCTCTCTCTCTCTCTCTCTCTCTCTCTCAGTAATATTAAACAGTGTTCAGATATAAGGACCTTCTAACCAAATATTTAGAGTATTGTACATGTATGTTACTGTTAGTATGAAGAAACTCCAAACAGTGTTCTGGGCATATGCAGTTGTCGGTCAGTATGGCCTTCGGGCTGGCTGTCAACAATTGGCTTGTGAATGCCCTAAAGGCTACAGTTTTTGACAGATCCATTTCGAATTTGGTGTGAAGAATTGTGGTCACGAGAAGATGAACCCGATTGACATTCAGTGATCCGCAACCTTCCATACCAGAAATATGCACCTTTTTTTGAAAACCTTATTAATGCAAAGCATTGTGGCCATAAGAGGACAAACCTTATCAATATTCAGCATTCGGCATCCTCCCATATCAGAGTTATACCTCCTTTGCCAAAAACGTTGTGAATGCGATAGAGGTTACAATTTCTAACAGATCTTTTTCAAATTTGGTATGAAGCATTGGTTCATGAGAGGAGGAATCCTATCAATATGCAGCTACTTTCTGATCAAGAATTATGCCCCCTTTGCCAAAAACCTTGTGAACATGATATAGGCTAGTCTTGAATGGCTTTCTTTCAAATTGGATGTGAAGGATTGGGGTCTTAAGGCGACAGGACAAACCCTATAAACACTGTGTTGCATGCCCTCTGTTGCGGAGTTACCCCTTTTTCCCAAATCCCTGTTAAAGCGATAGAGACTACAGTATAAAGCGGAAGTTTTCAAGCTTGTAAATATAACAGTGATAAGATTTCTTGAAGGTATCCTTTCATATCAAATTTGTTCAACATCTAAGTTTTCAAATTGTTTAAGTGGCGTTTATTAACTGGATGAGAATAACACATGACACAATTATATGGGATACATGTTACTTGAAAGATTTATTTAGGTGATGTTTCGACGAGGGTTCTCCCGTCTTTGCTTGATAAAGACGAGAAAACCCTCGTCGAAATGTCGCTGAAATAAATCCTTCAAGTAACTTGTATTCCATATAATTGTCTCAAGTGTTATCTACTTTTCCTTTCAGAAAAGCTGCTGTTGAGACATAGCTGTTATGTGGGGCGCATTTTAATTCGGTTGCCTACTGCCGTTTCACCCACACACACACATCCACCCCCAAGCACCCAATTATAAACTCAAATAATGATTAATTGAATCTCTAACTTTACCTGTACTTGTGAATGGAGTGGTCCACTCACACTTATAGTTTCAAAGACTTCATAATCCAGACTGAAATAATTAGAGTTCTGAAAATATGTGTAGACCTACTGGATGATAAATCAATCATTTATACATTAGCCAAATGAATAAATATCATTAATATGCTAATTTATCAAACCAACCATGTTGTAAATTTATGATGCACAACATAATATTCATTTTGACATCTAAACAATGGAGAAACTGCACATGGTACATGTAGGTCTAAAGCTTCTTCAGTTACAACATTTTTTGTGAATACTTTGTCTTAATGATATGTTGAAAATAATTTAACATTATAAGTAAAGATATTAACCAAAGAATTTATAATTTAAATCAAAACTTTAATAATTAAATTAAATTAAATTGAATTAATTCCAATTCTCAATTTTCAAATCTCTGGCAACCCTGAGAGTGTCTGTTTCTATCTAAATACCATAACTGATTGCCTGTATTCATTAGTCCAGTCAGTGCAGAAAAATAGTATGTTAAGTTAAACTTCATTTCATTTCATTTCATAGCTGATTTCTTTTTTTGTTTTTTTTTTTAAGGGGTTTGGATGGCCGATTGGTTAGCGCATGCGCGCTGTATCATAAGGTCTGTCATTGAGTCAACTGGCATGGTTTTGATTCCCCAGTTGTACGTGACAAGGAGTAGGGTAACCTGTCAAACCTCGTGGGTTTTCTCCGGGTCCTCCAGTTTCCTCCCACTGCTAAAGACCCCTACGCGCAAGCAAATTATTTAAATAAAATTGAACCATGTGTTAGTCCCGAAATGACCTAGTTTGTGTCGGGTGGACATTAAACCCCATTTCTCTCTCTCTGAACTGTTTTTTTTATTACAGAATGTGAATAATACTACTATTAGTCAACAGAATGCTTCAACATGGTCCAATGTGTGGGTGAAGTTAAAGTTAATGTTACCGTATGTTTGGCCTAAAGGACAACATGTCTTACAAGTTGTAGTTTTTATATGTTTAATATTATTAGGAATAGGACGAGCCATTAATGTTCTAGTTCCAATTTACAGTAAAGATATCAGTAAGTTCTTAGTCTACTTCCAATATACAGTAAAAATATCAGTAAGTTCTTAGTCTAGGTCCAATATACAGTAAATTATCAGTAAGGAACTTAATGTGCTAGTTCCAATATATATATTTGATATATAGTTCAGTAAGTTGTTAATACAAGTGTTATTGTAAAAGTGTAAATTCTTAGAAAAGGTATCAATAAATTCTTAGTCCAATATTGTACATTAGAAATCATTACCTTCTTTGTAATAATGTCTGTGTTACTTGTTACATAATCTTCTTAAATATATCAATAATTTCATAGAAGATATATCGATAATTTCTTAGTAAATATATCGATAATTTCTTATTCTTATTAAATATATCAATAATTTCTTATTAAATATACCAATAATTTCTTATTAAATATATCAATAATTTCTTATTAAATATATCAATAATTTCTTATTAAATATATCAATAATTTCTTCTTAAATATATCAATAATTTCTTCTTAAATATATCAATAATTTCTTAGTACCAGTTTATATTAAAAAAAATTCTTAGTAAATATATCGATAATTTCTTAGTAAATATATCAATAATTTCTTAGTAAATATATCAGTAATTTCTTAGTAAATATATCGATAATTTCTTAGTAAATATATCAGTAATTTCTTAGTAAATATATCAATAATTTCTTAGTACCGGTTTATATTTTTAAAAAAAATTCTTAGTACATATATCAACAATTTCTTAGTAAATATATCAATAATTTCTTTGTAAATATATCAATAATTTCTTAGTAAATATATCAATAATTTCTTAGTAAATATATCAATAATTTCTTCTTAAATATATCAATAATTTCTTATTAAATATATCAATAATTTCTTAGTACCAGTTTATATTACAAAAAAATTCTTAGTCAATATATCAATAATTTCTTAGTAAATATATCAATAATTTCTTAGTAAATATATCAGAAATTTCTTAGTAAGTATATCAATAATTTCTTAGTAAATATATTGATAATTTCTTAGTAAATATATCAATAATTTCTTAGTAAATATATCAATAATTTCTTAGTACCGGTTTATATTTTTCAAAAAAATTCTTAGTAAATATATCAATAATTTCTTAGTAAATATATCAACAATTTCTTAGTAAATATATCAATAATTTCTTTGTAAATATATCAATAATTTCTTAGTAAATATATCAATAATTTCTTAGTAAATATATCAATAATTTCTTAGTAAATATATCAATAATTTCTTTGTACCTGTTTTTATATATACATGTACTGTATATATAAACTTACTAAATATATTAGTAATTGATACAAGATTTATATTTTTCATTTCAGTTAACAGTTTAACAACGACACAATCTGCTACACAAGCTCCAGCCGACCTGTCTCTTGTTTTTAGATATGATTTTATCTTAATATACGTTTTTCTACTCTTTCTTAAAGGAGGTGGCACAGGTTAGTATTGGACAAACGAAATGAATTATTATTCTTTGAATGGCATTGAGTAATTGGAACAGAATTAAATAAAACACTATGGATAACAATTACTATGGTTTATTACACTGTGACTTTTCAACAACATTTCACAAGTTGTTATCAAGCACCCGGTTGTATGTGACAAGGAGTAGGGTCGCCTGTCCAACCTCATGGGTTTTCTCATTGAGCTACGTGGCATGGTTTCGATTCTCCACTTGTTCGTGAAAAGGAGTAGGGTCGTCTGTCCAACCTTGTAGGTTTCTTCTGGGTCCTCTGGTTTCCTCCCACTGCTAAAGACCCCTAGGCACAAGTGAATTATTGAAATAAAATTGAACCATGTGTTAGTCCCGAAATGACCTAGTTGGTGTCAAGCATATATCAAAACAAATAAATAAAATGAAATGATAAATGATTTATTAGTTCCTGGAAGTTTTGATAACTAGATAGCCACTTGAGGCCTGGAACGATGTATTATTGGTCGATTTTTCAAACTATAAAGCAAATGCCTGTATAATAATTCATTGAAAATTTATACGAAACATGGAGTCATGGTGGCTCATTGGGTAAGACATTGACTCACTAATCTCAAGGTCCTGCGTTGGCGAGAAAGTTAATTGTGATTTTCGGGCATGGTTCCCGCTCGTCAGCGGTGCAGGACAAAGGGCATGGTAGGGTCAATGTATAGTCGTTTGGATGGGATGAAAAACCAAGGACCTGTGTACTCATTGGCATGCACATAGAAGAACCCTTAACAGTTGGAATTCGAAATAAGACTAGGCCATAGTGCCACTGGCAAGGCAAAATTTCTCTCATAGCACACTGCATGGCATATGCCCATCTTCTTTAGCCAATTTGGAACAGAACAGTAGGACATTAAACTCTATTTCATTTTATGTCATTTCAAGTTCAAGCAACCCAAGTGAATGTTTAGTACACGATTAAAAACAGAATCCAATCACAATCTTCAAAATCCATAGAAATCTATTGAAGCACCGAATGGCAGGTGAAAAAAATAGAATTTAAAGATACATTATTGGAGATTAGATAAATAGCTGGCAGTGCTTACTATAATAGTTAAAAACCAGATAATGTAAAGGGAATTTGCTGAAGATTTCAGTCAAATTGATCTTCTCTGAACCGAGATATAAGCCATTGAATTTTCAGCCTAGCCTCGATCATCATTAAAGTTGGTATGATAAAAAAAAACATAGTCTCGATTATCCATTTCATGATTAAATCATGAATGGAAGTTGAACAGCAAATCGGAACCTAATCCAATAAACATGGCAGGCTAGCGATGACATCAAGAGTTGATTATGGTCTTGATAAGTTAATTAATGTCTAATTAATAATTTAGATAACATTTCAGGCCTAAAGAAATACCTGCAATAGGCAGATTTAGCTCTTGAATAATGTATGTCTAATCACAATTCTCAAAATATATACATCTACATGTATCACCATTACGTTATAGGCTTATTGCAGGTACTGTATATAATAATGAAGTATTTACATAAATTAATAGTTATTCTATGTTTTCTTATAAGGTACGACTGGTTTATTGAATAATATTAGAGCATTGTTGTGGATTAGAGTTCAACAGTTCACCACTAGAAGAATAGAACTTAAATTATTCACTCATCTACATTCGTAAGTTTTAAATTCAGTTCTACATTACTGAAAGAGCAAGAAATTAATGTGCTATAAAATGAGTTAATGTGTTATGAAAATGAATGTGTTATGAAATTTTTAATGTTTTAATATCAATTATTTAATGTTTTACAAAATGAATGTGTTATTAAATTCATAATGTTTTGAAATTAATGTGAGCCGAAGGCAGTCTACTACACTGAACTATATCCAAATCATACTTTGTATAGGGCCACATAGAAATTTGGTCCGCTAAGTCTGTCTGGACACTCTCTCTCTCTCTCTGTCTCTCTCTCTCTCTCTCTATATATATATGATTCATAGAACTTTTCTTCATCACATGAATGTATTTAGAGGGCGGTTGGATGGCCGAATGGTTAGCATGTGCGCACTGTATCATGAGGCCTGTCATTGAGTTAACTGGCGTGGTTTCGAATCCCTGTTTGTATGTGACAAGGAATAGGGTTTCCTGTCCAACCTCGTGGGTTTTCTCCGGGTCCTCCGGTTTCCTCCCACTGATAAAACCCCTATGTGCAAACGAATTATTGAAATAAAATTAAACCATATGTTAGTTACGAAATGACATGGTTTGTGTCGATTGGACGTTAAAACCCATTTCTCTCTATCTCTCTGAATATATTTAGTTTCTACAGCATTGGAATTTCTTATATTTTATTGTAATATTACTGATGTATTTTTTGACAGGTTATCGCTAAGTTGGCATCTCGGTAGAAAGACAGGAGAAGTTCTACGAGTCATTGATAGAGGTACCAATAGTATAAATAGTTTACTCAGGTAACATGTCGTTATATTAAAGTCTCTAAATGAATGAAATGAAATGGGGTTTAACATCCTACTTTTCTACATCTAACAGGCTGATGAAGACGAGTATGCTTCAAAAGTGTGTTTTGAGGAAATGTGGGTTGGAGTGGCCGAATGGTTACCATGTACACCTTGGATCAGAAGGTCTGTCATTGAGTTAAGTGGCACGGTTGAAATTCCCCGCTTGTACGTGACAAGGAGTAGGGTCACTTGTCCAACCTCATGGGTTTTCTCTGGGCCCTCCGGTTTCCTCCCACTGATAAAGACCCCAACGTACATGCGAATTATTGAAATAAAATTAAACCATATGTTAGTCCCGAAATTGCCCCGCTTGTACGTGACTTGGACTAGAGTCGCCTGTACAAAATCGTGGGTTTTCTCAGGTTACTGCCTCAGCCAAAGACCCTATGCACAATTGAATTATTGAAATAAGATAGAACCATATGTTAGTCCTGAAATGACCTGGTTTGTGTTGAGTGGACATCATAGATACACCATTCCATTCCTATTCAGTATTTTGTTGGTTAGTATTTTTCCTTTTTTTCTGTTTCAGTTATTTGGTATTTAATATCTTGCCAACTATAATAGATATAGTGATAGCTATTATATATTTTGTCACAGCTTTTAACTATATATTTGGTCTGGTTGTCTTTCTTTGTATGGCTCTTTATCTTAGTAAGTTATTATTCATATTCACATGTGTCTTGCAGGGCTGCGGCCATTACATTGCCAATATTATTAATTACATTACCATTACCATTATTTTTTAAATGTAATCATTACAATTACTTTCTCATTTTTAGCCATGTAATTAATTACCATTACCTATTACATTGAAAGTAATTAATTACCATTACCCATTACTTTATGACTATATAAATAAAAAAACAACATTTTTCATAGAAATTAAAAAGCCAACCTTATTTTTCTGCCATGAAGTACAGTACCTACAAAATCAAACTCAAAATAAACCTTGATTCACTAAATAGATATTTGTTCATGAATTATTTTTTCTAGCAATTATAACATCAAGGCAAATTTTATAGAGACGGACAGTGGTGACAAAAACTGACATTTTCCCGGTATGACTTGAAAAATGAATCAAAAGTATAGTTAATTAACTGTATTTTCTTTTAATTATTTTTTTAAAATTTTTAATCAAGCCAAATAGTTTGTCTATATATTGTATAATAACTGGTAAATTATTCAGCCTTACTCAAAAACAAAATATATATTTGTTTCATTTTAAGAAACCATAAAATGATGAGATACTTGAAGGTCATTGCTTGGTTGTCACTTGTTACCTTGAGATTAAAGTGCAGTGAAACTATTTATTGTCTTTTAATCTAACTGATTGATTGATTGATTGACTGAGTGATTGGCTGCAAATTAGTACTAATCTTTGATTACAATATACATCTTATCAGAAATCCACTTTTTAGGTTACATGTCTAAAAAAGATTCGTACATAAAAAGTAATAAAAGAAAATGTTTAATGCCTTCTTATATTTGTTATAATTTGTTAAAACTGATTTAAATCTTTTTTTTAGAATTATTATGAATTGGATTTGTGTCAAATACATTTAATTACTTCTTTGGTGCTATAAATTTGAGACTTGTCATATTGGAAATATTTATATGTGCCATAAAATGTAATTGAAAAGTAATTGAAATGTAATTGACCATTACATGATTTTTGGAATGTAATTAATTATATTTCCATTACTCATTACTTTTGAAATCTACCATTACTGATTACATGGCCATTACTTAAAAAATGTAATGAATACATTCCATTACCTTTACCCATTACCATTACCCCAGCCCTGGTGTCTTGTGACGTAGTATTGTCATTTTGTCACCAACTTACATGTTAATTTTTGTCTCTTTGCACAGCTCTTTTTCCTTAATTTTTGGTGGTTAGACCCTTTCTACCACAGATGGAGCAACATGTGACAATGTCTTACTCAAAAACATGTATATTATCAATGGATATCTTGAAGTAGCATACTAGTACTTTTTGTATATTACCTCTAAATGGTCTAGTTGTCTCCCCCTTCAAGGATATTAGGCTTTTTTATCGACTTGCCAAATCGATTTGAATTTAGTGGAGATGTCATGTGACAGTATAGTCGATTTCAAAGTACTTTGGCGAGTTCGTTAAATGCTCCGATTAGCTGTAAACAATTGTTGTGGCTGGACACAGTTGAAAAAAACACATGATCACCCGATCAAATCGTCAAATCGCACCCTGAAGTGATTTGGCGATTTGATATAATCGCTTCGGAAATCGGTGTCGATAAATTCGTTGATTAGGGTAACCAATTTGAATTAGATTGACGTTAAAAATGAAAATTTGATTGAATGCATATCACTTTGGCTAATCAGTGGTCGATAAAAACGCCTAATGTCTCACCTGATATATGTTTAGCTATAACTATAATAATAACAAAATGATGTTCAATGTTTTTGTTGTATATTGAGCTATAATAATAACAAAAAGGTATTCAATGTATATTTAGCTATAACTATAATAGTAACAGAATGGTATTTATTGTATATTGAGCTATAATAATAACAGAATTATATTTATTGTATATTGAGCTATAATAATAACAGAATTGTATACGTATTTATTGTATATTGAACTATAATAATAACAGAATGGTGTTTATTGTATATTTAGCTATAACTATAATAATAACAGAATGGAGAACTAAGTATCGACGATCTATGAATAGATTAGATAATGCTGCTAATGCCAGGGCTGTGGATTCTCTTCTTAATTTTGAAACAGTGAGTTAAAAACTTTTCTAAACACAGTACCACTGTCTTTTAATTTATTGAAGATTGTATATCAATTAACAAAATTTATATATCAATCAAGCTTTCGGTGTTCTGCTAATTTAGTTGTTTTTAAATTTAATGATGACATTGTCATAGAAATTAAATGGGGTTTAACGCAGTGATGGGATTTTGCCCGTATATTCCGGACTTGTCCGAATCTTTTTTCCAAACGCCCAAAATTGTCCGACCGGGAATATGCCCAATCGGACATCAAGACATGGTGAATAATAAAATGTCCGACAAGTAAAATTTTGAAATCCCATCACTGGTTTAACGTCATACTTTTCTCCACCAACTGGACTGGCAAAGACGGGCATACTGTGTCATATGATGGAAAGATTTACTGGACAGTGGTACCACAAGCTACTCTTATTTCAAATTCAAGCTGTCAAGGGTTCTTTATATGCGGGTGGATAAATAATATAACATAGTTTATATCTACTCCTGTTCTGCTTTGATTTTAGAGAGAGAGAGAAATTGGGGTTAATGTCCACTCGACACAAACTAGGTCATTTCGGGACTAACACAAGGTTCAATTTTATTTAAATAATTCGCTTGCGCGTAGGGGTCGTCAGCAGTGGGAGGAAACCGGAGGACCGGAGAAAACCCACAAGGTTGGACAGGCAACCCTACTCCTTGTCACGTACAACCGGGGAATGGAAACCCCGCCAGTTGACTCAATGACAGATCGCATGATACAGCGCACACATGCTAATGCTAACCATTTGGCTACCTTACCCCCCCCCCCTTCCCGCTATGATTTTAAGGGTCTTATATACATGTATCAATGTCATATGAAAGAATCCATATTTCCTTTGTAGTCTCAGTTGCTATAGTTGCCTTTTCGGTATGGCATATGAAAACATGTGTCTACGTGTTGGTTTAAACGGTATTCTCTATTATATTTATCATATTTTAATTCAATACAGATGTCCAGTGTCTATTTGAATGATATTTATGTATTGTAATTCTATATATATATATATCTATACTAATATTTGTGACTGTGGTTTGTTTGTTTGGCTGGCTGCCTGTTCAGGGTTGGCTGCTACACTAGGGCTGTCCCAAGACTGAAATTTGGTGTAATGGGGTAGCTCGGACTAGGGAGTAACCTAGGCTTGGTGGCGCTGGATTACCATCCCCGGGCGAACACGCATATCCTTCTATTAAAATAATAAATCTCTAGTTTTGTTACAATAATAGGAAATGTGTTTTTGTTTAAGGTGAAGTATTATGGTAATACCCAGTTTGAATCAGACAGATATAATCAAGCTATTTTAGATTATCAGGTTAGTTATGTTATACTTAACAATATGGACAGGGAAATGATGGATATAACAATATGGACAGGGAAATGATGGATATAACAATATGGACAGGGAAATGATGGATATAACAATATGGACAGGGAAATGATGGATATAACAATATGGACAGGGAAATGATGGATATAACAATATGGACAGGCAAATGATGGATATAACAATATGGACAGGGAAATGATGGATATAACAATATGGACAGGCAAATGATGGATATAACAATATGGACAGGGAAATGATGGATATAACAATATGGACAGGGAAATGATGGATATAACAATATGGACAGGCAAATGATGGATATAACAATATGGACAGGGAAATGATGGATATAACAATATGGACAGGCAAATGATGGATATAACAATATGGACAGGGAAATGATGGATATAACAATATGGACAGGGAAATGATGGATATAACAATATGGACAGGGAAATGATGGATATAACAATATGGACAGGGAAATGATGGATATAACAATATGGACAGGGAAATGATGGATATAACAATATGGACAGGGAAATGATGGATATAACAATATGGACAGGGAAATGATGGACAAAATACGGAAATGAGAAACATAAAAATATGGACTGGGAAATGATGAACATAATATACATAGTTATATGGACAGGGAAATAATGAACATATTATACATAGTTTATTCAAAGGATGGACAAAACATAATAGACAGGGAAATGATGTACATAACAATAATGGACAGGTAAATGCTGGCCATGATATGCATAACAATATGGACAGGGAAATGATGTACATAACAATGAAATGAAATGAAATGAAATGGGGTTTAACGTCCTACTGTTCTGCTCCTATACTGGGCTAATGACATAACAATGATGGACAGGTAAATGTTGGCCATGATATACATAACAATATGGACATCGAAATGATGGACATGATATACATAACAATGTGGACAGGGAAATGATGAAAATGATTGTTTTATTAATTGTCTCTTCTTTGTTTTAATCAAGATCAATAACTAGCATGGCATGAATCATTTAAAAAAAAAAACACTGAATGAATAAGATTTAGCGTAACATGTGATGTATTAATAGTACTACATTTTTATTTATTTCAGAAAGCTGAATGGGATGCCACTGCTAGTTTGAATCTGTTGAATTTTCTCCAGAATTTTGTGATTTCAATAGGATATTTAGTGGGTTGTTTGTTGGCAGCGTGGGGTGTGGTTCATGGTATACAGGATTTACATCTAACCGTTGGTGACTATGTTTTATTTGGTACTTATATAGCACAGCTGTACGTACCTTTAAACTGGCTAGGAACTTATTATAGGTAAGGTTTTAAGATACATTCCAGGGCGTGGTGGATGGCCGAATGGTGCATCATAAAGTCGGTTATTGGGTCAAGTGGCATGGTTGCAATTCCCTGATTGTATGTGACAAGGAGTAGGCTCGCCTGTCCAACCTCGTGGGTTTTCTCTGTGTTCTTCCCACTCCTAAAGACCCCTACACGCAAGTGACTTATTGAAATAAGATTGAACCATATGTTAGTTCCGAAATGACCTAATTTGTGTCAATTGGAGTTAAACTCTCTCTCTCTCTCTCTCTCTCCATGCGGGTTGGGTGACCGTATGTTGAAGACTATGAGGTTCTGAGTGACCGAGACTACTAGTTTGTATGCGGGAAGGTATCTTTAAAAAATTTTAGTAGATCTATATACTGTTAGATTCTCGTTTATACATTAGCTCATTTATATATTTTTAGAATGATCCAAACAGCATTTATAGATATGGAAAACATGTTTGAACTTTTAGATCAAGATACAGAGGTAATGTATGTTTGTAAATGTTCTGAAAGGTTAAAGGGGGGGGGGAGGGTGTGTGTGTGTGTGGGGGGGGGGGGTAGCTGGTAATACTTGACTAAATCGTTATTAATCAGAGTAATTGTAGCAAGGAATTTGGTAACAGGGGACAGGGGTACTCGCATGCAGGTTTGTATAGTGCTAGGTTCCCACTGTCCATATTGAATCCCGCATCTAGTACCTCAGATACGTTCGGATACGTACAGATACAATCAACACGATTGCTACAACTGACCTCAATATATAATAAGACCTGATAGGATCCCCACTATTACTCTACGATCAAAACCACGATTTCAATCCTAGCATGAATCGTGTTAGTTGGAACCTAGCATTAGGAAAGTGTTAGAGGAATATTTTGATATTTTAGCTCCATTATAGCGCAGCCTGGGTGAATTTTTAGCTAAATAATATGTTAATTAGATATTTATATTTAACAAGAGTTTGTGGGTTTTATTCCAGATAGTAGATAAACTAGGAGCTAAAGATCTGGACATAAAAGGTGGTAAAATAGAATTTGATCGTGTTAACTTTAGATATGATCCGAGGTAAGATTATGTATATGATAGTTGATTTGTTGGATCAGGATCTGTTCCCCTAGTGTTACTCATCTAGTTCTTCTTCTTTGGTAAAACAACTTAAGACTGGCAATTTAACCCCTTAACTGCGTAGTTTTTAAAACGTTAACTACCCCCTATTGCGTAATTAATTTGACGAAAAACGTCATTTTGGACCTTTTCATTCCTGAATACAAAATTTGGTAGTCTGAAACCAAATTAAAACTAACGGTAAATAGAGTTGTCTCCCTTTAATTAGATTTCCTCGACCAGGCGTAATATAACGTCTTACACATGCTGCGATCGTTTTCGAAGAATAGGTTGGGGAAAATACCTCCAGGACGTTATATTACGTCCTACACACGGTGAGTGGCAGTTGTCCAGGACGTTATATAACGCCCTACGCAGTTAACGGGTTAAATATGTTCAACATGTGTGTTCCTTGGACATTTGTGCAATGGTTAGGAGACTTTGATTTTTGATATGACTTCACAATTCCAAGATGGCCGTGATGAGGTCATGCTTGTTTCCATGTCCATATAATATGTCCATACTTGGTTTTTTTCCCGAATATTCTATCTGTATCCTAGAAACAATTAAAGTGACGAGAGGAAGTTAGTTAAACTCTTTGCTTTATTAGATTGAAATAAAATGAAATGGGGTTTAACGTCCTACTGTTCTGCTCCAAACTAGGCTAATGAAGAAGGGCATACGCCATACAGTGTGCAATGGGACAATTTGGCCTAGACAGATGCACTACAGCCTACTCTTATATCGAATTCTAACTGTACACAGGACCTTGGTTAGATTGAAATGCAGTGAAATAAAATGGTGTTTAACGTCCTACTGTTTTGCACCGACAGGCGTAATGAAGACGGGTATTAGATTGGAAATAAAGTAAAGGATATTATACTGTATCATGGTATATCTATTATGTAAGGAGAAAAACCTAACTGGTCAATTATTATCGATTTTTAACTTTAATTTTTACTTTTATTGTAGGAAATCAATACTGAAGGATATATCATTTACAGTGAATCCAGGACAGACATTAGCTCTGGTAATTGCAGTCTATTTATTATTTTCATTTCAACAACAGTAGCTGCGGTGGTTCATTTAGTAGTGCGCTAGCTCCCTAACCTGGAAGTCTGTTAGAAAATTTTTTTGCTGTGGTTTCCCCTTGTCTGGTGCAGAATCGACCGATGGCCTGGTCAGACACAGTGCTAGTCGTTCAGATGGGACAAAAAAAACCAAAGAATTCATGATAAGATTCTGCCATAACGCCTACTAGTAACATAACTAGGAACATAATATCAACAGATTTATTGAACAAAGTTGAAAAAACAAATTTGGAGTGTATGTGTGATTATTGACAAATGTATCTTCTTGGTTCACATTCAAGCATTAATAATAATACTGATAATGATAATCATATCTTTATGTCAACATAAAATAATTCCAAGTAAGTAGCAGTGGGTGGAAGAATCCCTGGAGCAGTCCAGGTTATCATGGAAGCAATCCATAGAAAATAATCCCAAAATTAAAACCAACTGAGAAAGGGCTACTGCCCGAAACACGTCCTGGAATGAAAACTTTTGTAGTCTTGGGATTATGTCAAAATAAGATGACAACCAATCCAGGGACCAAGTCTATATGTGGTGGTTAATTAAGAAATCTTTGCTCACTACACTTTATGTTCGATCCAGATTATCGACATTATTATTGTTAAAATTTTTGATGTTCTAACTCACAGCATCAACTGGCAGAAACCTTTCTTATAAATCATTCATTATTTTGTATTTCATTTTTACAGTGCCCTTTTTTAGTGCTGAAAGTGCCTTTTCTCAGACTCAAATATGTCCGTTCCCAACCCGTTGTAGGGATCCCAAATGACTCAAACCATCGACTCAAACACACCAGCCTGGGAAATAGCTCTTGGAATGGCTACAGATGCAAGGAAATGACGGATAATTTTCTTTGGGACTCCCCCCCCCCCTCAGCGACGTGCCCCGTCTCCGCGGACAATGCTTTCATTTTGCAGTGCCCCCCCTTTTCAAAATTCCTAGATCCGCCCCTGATGTTTGTGTAGTTTGTCCGCAGGTTTGTCTTATTAGTTTTGTTTTGTGTTTAGTGAGGTCCTCCTGTAGTTACTATTACATTTGACTGAAAATGTGCAGTTTAGAATATATGTATTATTAACACAAGGTACAATTTTATGGATACACAATTACTGAGTTTAATACTAAGCGAAGTTTCAACGAGGGAACTCTCGTCTTTATCAAGCAAATGATATAAAGACGAGAGATCCTCGTCAAACTCGTATTAAACTCAGTAATTGTGTATCCATAAAATTGTACCTTGTATCAATATGTTCAATTACTAAATGCCAATCAGAGAAGTTATATGTATTATATTTTTATAGGTGGGTCATACAGGTAGTGGTAAGAGTACGCTAGTACGTTTAATGTTCAGATTTTATGATATAGAATCTGGCAGTATTAAAGTTGACGGACAGGATATATCAGCGGTAAGTTGTATTTAAAAACACCAATTAGATATCAATATTGGTCCATTTCAATCAATATAGATGTTATTACCTTACCGTTTAAATATGGGGTCCTAATATCCAATGGACATTTTCAGATCAGTACACAACATCATGACCTTTATTGACATAATGGTTTGGAGTGCCATTTATAATGAACAAAGAAAAACATATGCAAGAAAACAGTGTGGAAATTAAAAAATGGCTCATTCAGTCACTCACAAATGACAAAAAAATAATCCAAACAAACCTGTGTTTGGACTGTTCATGTATTTAACCAAACATAATTGATTAAAAATTATTATAAAAATTTAGAAAATTGTATATAAATCATGTTATTTATATACTCTAAAGTTTAAAAGAATAGAGGTGTACAGCCTTTTATGCTAGGTGGTTTGAGAACTTTCTTACATTTCTCATATAGGGCCCTGTTTCTCGAAATCTTCACTAAAGATAAAATCCAAATTTTAGTAGATACTTCAATTTTGATTCAATATAATAATATCCAATCAAATTTAGATTTTATCTTAGTTAAAATTTCGTGAAACAGCCCCCCCCCTCCCCCGTTCATTTGATATAATTTGAGTCATTTTCCTTCAGCCAAGACAGTTCATTGGGATTTTCCGGCAGTCTACCAGAGAAAAACTTGTATTCAATGTCAAAATTGCAATGTCAACAATCCTACCTTCTCACTGAAGAGGGGTGGGGGAGGGGGGCTATGGAAACCATGTTTTGAAGATGGTTACCGATTTAGACAGTGTTATAGTTTGGCAAGTTTTTTTGGGGCCACCCAAACGTATTTTGTTACGTTTTTTTATACATTCGATGGCCTACACTTGATTAATCAACCAACATTGATGTTTCTAGTGGTTTAAACACAGTTCCGTGCATCGCACAGCAAGAACTCACTGTAACCGACCGTTTCATTGGCTAATCCGTCGCATTAACCAGAGCACGGCTTATATAAAAACTCTTCCAGATCCTATGATGTCAGACATTGATTAATCAACCAAGGTTGATGTTTCTAGTGGTTTACCCACAGTTCCGTGCATCACACAGCAAGAACTCGCTGTAACAGACCGTTTCATTGGCTAAGCTCTCACATTTACGAGAACGTGGCTTATATAACAACTCTTCCAGATCCTAGTTTAGTAAAGACAAGTAAAACAAAATTTTGAAATATAATAAAACAAAACGAAATATGATCTGTGTTTTAATCAAATTGGGTGCCCCGATTCAAATTGGGTGCCCCGATACATGCTATCATTATTTTTGTTATGATTTGAATTATTTATAGGTGACACAAGATTCTTTACGTAGTGTTATTGGTGTTGTACCACAAGATACAGTATTATTTAACAGTGACATCAGGTAAATATATCTATCATTGTGCGGGGGAGGGGCGAATGGTTAACATGTATGCTTTGATCATAAGGTTTGTCATTGAGTCGACTGGCGTTGTTTTGATTCCCCACTAACACGTGACAAGGATTAGGGTTGCCTGTCCAATCTTGTGGGTTTTCTCGGGGTCCTCCAATTTCCTCCCACTGTTAAAGACCCCTATACGTAAGCGAATTATTGAAATAAGTTGAATCAAAATGGCCTAGTTTGGATCAAGTGGATGTTAATCCCCACTTCTCTCTCTCTTTGTGTGTGTGTGTGGGTGTGGGGGGGGGGGCATGGTGACTCGTGAATAAAAGTGCTGGCTACTAGCGAGGAAGTCTATGATTTGCTCCCAGTGTTGGCAAAGAAAGTTCCTAAAGATTTTCAGTAGGCACGGTTTCCTTGTCAGTGGTAGAGGACGGACTACCTGGCAAGGGCAGTGTCTAGTCTTTTGGAGCGGACAGAAAACCAACTTTTGGATGGGACAGAAAACCAACTTTTGGATGGGACAGAAAACCAACTTTTGGAGGGACAGAAAACAGAGATCCATGTACTTGTTGGTATTAATGTTAAAAAAACCTTGACAGTTGGAATTTGAAATAAGAGTAGAAATTGCTGCTGTCTCGTAAAAATTTCGCTCATAGCACACTGTTAGGCATACACCTGTCTTCCTAAGCCCAGTCGGTGCAGAAAATAAAATGTTTGCCCCATTCCATTTCATTTCTTTAATGGATATTTGCATAAATATATATGTATAATTTAAAGGTATGGTCATGTTACTGTATATATGTATATATAACTACTACTACTATAGGTAGGGTTAGGGCCATGTTGCTGTATGATGTATATATTACTAGGTATAATATAAGATATGGTCGTGTTACTGTATTATGTATTACTAGGTATAATATAAGATATGGTCGTGTTACTGTATTATGTATTACTAGGTATAATATAAGATATGGTCGTGTTACTGTATTATGTATTACTAGGTATAATATAAGATATGGTCGTGTTACTGCTACAGATGAAGAAGTTTATGATGCTGCTAAAGCTGCTGATATACATCATCGTATTTTAGCCTTTCCTAATGGTAAGTAGTACATTCTCATTGGTTGTTCAAAACCATGAAAAGATTCTGCACCGATCAAACATGACCTCTATTACTATGGAAGTCTCGTCTTTGGAATCCAGCCTGAAAATTTTTTAAGGAGCTTTCTCCACCAACACCTGTTGTGGAACCAGGAATCTAAGGATTGGTTATTGAGTTGGTGCCATACTGATCGAGCTGGGGATTTCGATGGTTGTGAGGTCTGTTTGCACTATTGATCATAAGGTCTGTCATTGAATCAACTGGCATGGTTTTGATTCCAGACTTGTACTTGACAACCCCAGAGGTTATCTGCAGTTCCCGAAGTTCATCCCAATACTAAAGACCCCTATGTGCGATCCCGTTATTATAATTGCAAGATATGTTAGTCCTGAAATGACTATGATTCTTGGATCTTGTCGGGGTGTTGGATGGCTGAATGGTTAGCACGTACGCGCTGTATCATAAAGTCTGTCATTGAGTCAACTGCCGTGGTTTCGATTGTCCGGTTGTACGTTACAAGAAGTAGCGTCGCCTGTTCAACGTCGTGGGTTTTCTCCGGGCCCTCCGGTTTCCTCCCACTGCTAAAAACCACTACGCGCAAGCCAATTATGGAAATAAAATTGAATCATAAGTTAGTCTCAAAAAGACCTAGTTTCTGTCAAGTGGACATTAAACTCTCTCTCTCTCTCTCTCTCTCTCTCTCTCTCTCTCTCTCTCTCCCAAATCTTGTAACAGTAAAATGGCTGTATATATTGACAGGTTATGAGACAGTTGTTGGTGAAAGAGGTTTAAAATTAAGTGGTGGAGAGAAACAAAGAACAGCCATTGCTAGAACAATATTAAAGGCACCTTCTATAGTATTATTAGACGAGGTCAGTATATTAAAGCCACCATCAGAATTCTTCCCATAAACAAAAAGCAATAAAAGCTAAAGCTCTTTAAAAGCAAACTGGAGTTACAAATGTTTATAAATATCATAGCATTCATAGGAGAAAGCCTTCGCACTCCATCTGTCTTAAATAGCAAAATGAGTCTAGTTTAAGGTCGCAAGTCTTTTACGATATAAGGAATTCAAGAATCCCCACTCAACAGTAGCACAACAGACTTGGTAGAAGTGAAAACTGTTCAATGAATAACGTTTCGGTTTGTGATACCCTTTTGGTAGAAGTGAAGATTGTTTAATGAATAACATTTCGGTTTGTGATACCATCACACCCGGAAACGTTATTCATTAAACAATGTTTACTTCTTCCAAGTCTGCTGTGCTACTGATGAGCGGGGATCTTAAATTCCTTTTATTTATTCCTCTGCCCCGCCGATATCTTTTTTGGATCTAGTAGCCACTCAGATGTATAAGCCTGTCCAGCTTTAGTCACCTTGTCTAAGGAGGGTTGTCGTCCCTCTTCTTGTATCCAGTCTTTTATTTTATGTTAAAATAGGCTTAAAATATGAAGAGCCCAGGGGAAGAACGATCTAAGTCAAATTTTTGTCTTTTCCCATAAAAGGCAAAACATATTTTTGGACAAGAATGTTTGACGCGAACAGAACAACGAGTGGGTTTAATTACAACTTCAAAATGATGTTTAATACGAACCATAATTACCAGTACAACTGACTTCAACTTTTCAGGCAAATTAAGGTTAATAAAGGGTATGATGGACTTGTATTTGTATGGGAGGCCATTTCAGAAGGGCCTTGGTTCGATTGACTCCAATCGTTTTTACCTGAAATAGATTGTTCCACAGAAAACTTATACAATTTGCTACCAGATGGCACCATTTACTGGGGTTCGTTGAAAAAGTGACTTAGATCGTTCTTCCCCGGGGCTCTTCATATGTTTTTAATGATACAACATGAAAGTTAAAAAGTTTAGATTTGACAACTGAAACAAACTTAATTTTTGTTTTATTTTTTGGGGTATTTCAACATTTTTGTTCATATATTATTATCCTAAACAATTACTGGTGACTTCTGCTGAAACAGGTTACATTTGCATCTTAATGGTCTCCATGTCATGGTGAATCAATGGAAAAGATATAGACACATGTACCTTGAAGTAAAACGTTGAAGCCTGTTAATAGTAAAGAGACCGGAAGCTTCATGAAACTTATTTCCTGAAGTGAACATCGACCTCTAGTGGCCTAACTCTGTCTGGTTTGTTTCACAATGGATGATGAACCCTGCCAAGTTCTGTTGGTTTTCCTTTAATAACTTTTGTTCCCTCCTCTGACTGATTTAAACATACATTATTCAAGAGCTAAATCCGCTTATTGCAGGTCTTTCTTTAGGCCTGAAATGGTTTCTAAATTATTAATTAGACATTAATTAACTGATCCAGACCATAATCAACTTTCAATGCCATCGGATTCTCAAGATTTGGACTAAATTAGAACGGTTCGGCTATTTAATGATTTAATTTAAAAATGGATTAGTGAGTCTTAGTCTCGAATATACCAGTACCTTGATTACAATAATGAACAATCAATGCATGCTCCTTGTCAAAACTACAAACAGTGATAACTTGGCTCAGCATCAAGTAATTTGAATGAAATTTTCATATATTCATTTTGCATTATCCATTTTTTGGACTATTATAGCAAGAACGGCCAGCTATTTATCTAAATCTTACATAATGTATCTTTAAGTATTTTAATATTCTATTTGTCTGAAATGATCATTTATTATGGCAGCTATATTTAATTTTTTTTTGCTTTTTTCTCCAAATAGGCTACCTCAGCTTTGGATACGAAAACGGAACGCAATATTCAGACATCATTATCAAGTATCTGTGAAAATAAAACAACAATAATAGTAGCTCATCGTCTATCTACTATAATACATGCTGATCTTATTCTAGTTTTAAGTGAAGGTGAAATTATTGAAAGAGGAACGTAAGTACAATTATCTAGTTTTATTATTAGGTTTATAAATTAAGAATTAAAATTAAAATGAAATGAAATGGGGTTTAACGTCCTACTTTTCTACTCCGAACTGGGCTAATGAAGACGGGCATATGCCATACAGTGTGTTATGAATGGAAATTTTGCCCGAACAGCGGCATTACAGGTTACTCATATATCGAATTCCAACTGACAAGGGACCTCGGATTTCCGTCCCATCCGAACAACTAGACAGCTGTCCTTGTCAGGCCCTCCATCCTGCATCACTGACAAGGGGGAACCCCGCCGGAAAATCTGGATGAACTTTCTCGAATTAAGAATTAAAGAAAAATAATAAAATGTGTTTACCAGTGCACAGGAGGGAGTTGCTCAGTGAGTTAGACGCTGACTTGCTAACCAGTAGGTCTCTGGTTCACTTTCGGTGTTGCCGAGAAAGTGTTAAGGATTTTCAGACCTGGCTTCCCCTTGTCAGTGGTGCAGGTTGAAGGCCCTTACAAGGAATAGTATCTAGTGGATCGGATAGTATGAATTAAGAGAGGGTGATATTACCACCGTGCAAGAAAATAAAATTTCCGTTATAGCACACTGCATGGTGTATGCCCGTCTTCATTAGCCAGGTGGTTCAGACAAGTAGGACGTTAAACCCCATTTCATTTCGTTTCAAGAGTTAACTACTGAACCTTTTTTAGGAAATATTGACTACATATAGTGATCAAAATTTGATAGGCTCTGGCCAACGAATACTTGTATGAGAGCTTACATATCATGCAATTGGAAATGGTACACTAGGTGGGATGGGTCCACTGATTAAAGGATACCATGTTCTAAAGACTACAATTGCTCCAATGTGTGCTGGATTTCATATTAACAAAATAAAAATCATCCATATTTCAGGCATGAAGAGCTGTTACTTCAAGATGGTCATTATGCTGATATGTGGCAGCAACAGCTAACAAAACAAGAAATGAATTCTCTAGAAAATGGCGCAGAAAATGGTGCAGAAAATGGCACAGAAAATGATGTTGATTAAAGACTTATAGCAGACCTGGAAATAACGGTTTTAGATGTACCTGACAAAATGTTAGGCACTAATGAAATAGTACCTGACATTTTCAACTTATTGCCAGACATGTATTAATAATATCAATAAAACAGACAAATCACTGCCAGACAAATCACTGCCAGACAAAATGACAGGCGTCAGAGGCTTAGTGCCTGACAAAGCCTGAATCTGTGCCTGACATTGTCTGTGACAGGTGCCTTTTTTCCTGGTTTGCTTATAGTGGTTTTATCAAAATTTTGTTTTACTTAAAAACAAAAAGAAAAAAAAAATATTGCAAAAAATAGGGTTTTTTTTGAAAACCTAGGGCCTTACTCTTAGAATCTTAAATCCCTTAAAAAGTAATTAGAATTCTTAATTCAGGGTCTAAGAATGCTGAATGAGTGTTCACCATATTGAGTGTTCACCATATTTTCTGATGTACAAAGGGCACAGGTGCACCACACATGTGGGGGAGCTGGCCAAGGCCGGTATTCTTTGGAGCAATGGAGATGTTTATTAAGACACATCCTTCTTCCACAACAACAAACATATCACACACCCGGTAAGAGACAGTTTAGGCTGATGTATGATTCCCAGTAAATTACTGTAAAATTGTTTCAATGACATTTAGTAATGGAACTGGAATATACAGGTCACAATTCTATGTAATACAATTACTGCTTATTACTGAGCGACGTTTCGACTAGTCTTTTCTTGAACCATGTGTTAGCCCCCGAAATGATTTAGTTTATTTTGGGTGGGCGTTAAATCTCTTTCTCTCTCTCTCTCTCTCTCTCTCTCCCTCATTTGATATGTACAACTAAATAAAGAGATCATACAGGGCACAATTCTATGGAATACAATTACTGCATATGTGATAATTATGTTTATATCCTCAGGCCTTATCCTTGAAAACATATATCTACAGTAATTTATACAGGTCACAATTCAATGGACTTACTGAGTGATGTTTATTACTGAGTGATGTTTCGACTAGACTAGTCATTTATCGAGCAATGACTAGAGAAGCCTAGTTAATACGTCGCTCAGTAATAAGCAGTAATTGTATTCCATAGAATTGTGACCTGTATACTCTAGTTCAATTACTAAATGCCATTGAAACAGTTTAAAGAGATCATAATATATATGTGTCTTGTGGTCCAGTCCCATGGATTATATTAATCCAACCTTAAGAAGCTAGAAAGATGAATAGATATATTAAAGGCCATATATAATCCTTTCTTTTTTACTCGTTTATTTTAGAGTAATAATACATTTGTAAATATTATATTTTATGATCGAATTTAAAATTTGTATCATCTTGTAGGATAATTTATAGGAAAAAAATGGCTGTACATTAAAATATGTTGTATAGGCCTACTTTATTTTAGTTCTATGGTTTTAATACTTTTGTTTGAAATATTTTGTAGATATATTTAATTATGTTTTTGTGTAAAAGGGAAATATTAGCCATCTGTTCATTCCATGATACAAAGTTAAGAACAATTTCTGTATAGAAATTGAGTTTTCTCTTCAGTTATACATTCTAAAACAGTAGACACACTAGTCGAATCATTCAGTCAAATTAATGGGCCCAAAATTCGATATATTTGCCTAGTGTGTCTGCTTCACCGAAACATTCGCGCGATTGTAGAATTCATTAGCCAATCACCACTGATATCGAGAAGTCACATGATTGTTTGAAGACATGGTGGCTGCCTTGTTTAATCACGTGATGTGAAAGGTGATGCAGTCGATTGCTGAATTGGGCGAATGATTCGCCTAGTGTGTTCACTCATTCGCTCGAATGAATTCGGCTACAATTCGGTACCGAACGATTCAGTTAGTATCTCCACGGCTTCAAGTTATAACTTGTATAAATGTCTTGGCTCGGATCTGTACTCAAACAGAATGCTGTAAATAGTATTTTCCAGAAACAGGTGTCAAGATAAAATCTTAATCGACCCTTTAGCATTACACCCAAAACCACCCTATTTAGGGCTCCTTAGACCGCACCGTCACTTGCACAGTTGTGGCGCATGCAAAATGGGTCTATAATATGTAAAGCTATTCACATATCTCAAGCAGTTTGAGGAAGTCTAAGTAACAGCAGTTTCAGTCTGATTAGAGATGTACCGGTAGTAATATATCACTTTTGACTAATTTCCTTCAAGGATCTGGAGTTGTCCATATTTACATGACACAGTGCTAGAGGGTTAACAGTGACATTCTGTACCCAGTGTCGATTCCCCGGGTGTAAGTGACAAGGAGTAGGGTCTCCTGTCCAACCTTGTGGGTTTTTCTCAGGGTCCTCCAGTTTCCTCCAACTGCTAAAGACCCCTACATGCAAGCAAATTATTGAAATAAAGTTGAACCATGTTAGTCCCAAAGTGACCTAGTTTGTGTCGAGTGGACGTTAAACCCCATTTCTCTCTCTCTCTCTGTACCCAGTACTAAAGTGCTAACAGTGATATTCTGTTTACAAATCAAAAGATAGTCTGTATATATATATAGTGCTAGTAAATATATGTTTAAAGCAGAGATTTTTTTTTTATCTATTTATTTAAAATTTGCTTGATTAAGATGAGAGAACTGTTGTCGATATGTCACTAGACATAAATTCAAGTAACTTGTATGCAATATGACTGAGCTTTTTTTGTTGTATTTATTTATTTGTTTATGATTAATTTAATGTCAGGAATTCTTATTTATTTAAATAGATTCAGGAATCAGTATTGTCTTGTACATTTATTAGGGTAGATTTTTGTTCAGGCATAAATTATAATACCTCTTTTTAAATTGATATAAGAGATAAGAGTGGCTATGATGACCTGGTTATCCCGAATATCAGTGACTAGTTTCGTTCGTATTGAACTCTTCAGACTGATTTTTAAATTCAAGTTGTTTTGATCTGATATCTGATAGATCTGCCTACAAATCTGTTTCTACACGCCTTATTATTCATCGGTAATTAATTAGTACTTGGTTAACATTATAAGTTGCCATGCATAATAGATTTTTTGTTTCTGTCATTTTAAGAGATTTATTATTTAATGAATGCTTCATCGGAACTAATAAATATTAATGTTTTTAAAATATCTATGTTTTAATTAGGCAGAGATAAGTTGAAGGCTGTTTGCTTATGCTTGCCATTTTGAATCATTTGGAAATTTTTAATCAAAAAAACGTGCAAAATTAAATTTTTTATATTTTAAAATTATTAAATGGATATAAAAATAAATAATATGAATTATAAAATGTATTAAAACAATTCTTATGATATTTTGTCCGGTCATATTTCAAATCTTTGTTCAGTGATATATGGTATCAATTATACTATATAAAACAATATATGGTAGCATACAGTACCGGTATCAAATATTTCATTTTTTAAAAAAAGATATTTTTTACTCATCAGTAAATGGAGTTACATCCAAACAAAAAAAGGTACCATATATGAATTTTGATAGTCAAAATATTTTAAATTTATGTTGGTGTTGTGCTATGTGCATCCAATAAAAAGGTGTTAATTTTTTGTTGGGGTTGTGCATCCAATAAAAAGGTGTTTTTATTCTTGGTAATTTCAAGTAAGTGATCTAATGAATATAGAATCATGTTTCCGTCGTACTATTTTATGTAGATCTATATTATTTCCGAATGTGTGTGAATGAGTATATAATATGAGATGTTTGGTGGATGCAATAAAAATGTAGGAAAAATTATATAATGTGTCTCGTTTTCATTCTCATGATTCCAACCTTTTAAATGGAGTTGTCTACCTTTAGTGGCTATCGTCCATATATTTTCGTTTCGGTTGATAAAACGGTTCTTGACTTTTAATTAACCAGTAAACAATATGGCTGATAAATTGGGCGTCCTTAGAGATCTTCAGTTACATCTTCAAAATGCAAGATTTCCCACCGATAAACTGTCAACATTATCTATCCAGGGCGATCAAAAGGTGGTTTACATATTATTTTACTAACTTATCAATTTCGGTATATTTCCTATTCAAGATTTAATGACGTCTGATTGCTGGAATAAATCCGATCGAACACATGACATTACTTTACTTTAGGCCTACTAAACTTATGAAATGTGCAAGGTTTAGAATAGGCCTGAATTCTCATAGCTTATTGAAATAGCTCAAGCGTGTTGCTTTCATAACCAGGATTCAGTTCATTGAGAGATTAGTTAAATCTGCCAAATCCTTTGTGATATCTCCAAATTTGCATGCATAGATCAACATTTTGGAAACTAATAAGATCACCAGGGTGTACAGTTTTATGTTATAACTGAGACTATAAAAAGATATATTTAAAAACCTCAGTTGAGTTGGTATCATTCATTATTGATGGGGGGGGTTGGATGGCCGAATGGTTAGCACGCGCGCGCTGTATCATACAGTCTGTCATTGAGTCAACTGGCGGGGTTTCGATTCCCCGGTTGTACGTGACAACCTCGTGGGTTTTCTCTGGGTCCTCCAGTTTCCTCCCACAGCTAAAGACCCCTACGCGCAAGCGAATTATGGAAATAAAATTGAGTGGACATTGAACCCCATTTCTCTCTCTAACTCTTCATTAGCCCAGTTGATGCAGAAAAGTAGGATGTTAAACCCCATTTCATTTTATTTCTTTACATCTCATAAGTGAAACATTCCAGTTAAACCCCATTTCCCTCCCTCCCTCCCTCATTATTGATGGGTGCCAAGCTCGCTCAGTGAGTAAGATGCTGACTCGCTAACCTGGAGGTCCTGGGTTCGACCCCAGTGTTGGCCGAGAAAGATCCTCAGGATTTTCTGGAGTAGTTCCCCTTGTCAGTGGTGCAGGACACAAGGCCTGGCAACTAACCGTGTCTTGTCTAGTCGTTCGAATAGTACGAGGTCCTATGGACACGTTGACTTGACTATAGGAATTCTAAATATTAGTAGGTTGTAGTGTCATAGACTAGGCAAAATGTACTTATAGTATAGGACACTGCAAGGCATATATACACCCGTCTTCATTAGCCAAGATGGAGCAGAAAAGTCATTAACCCATTTATTTCATTATTGATAATTGATAGTGTTCTCTGCTTTGATTTATATATGTTTTATTATTACGCAGCTAAGTGATAAAGATTTAAAGGTAGGATATTAGACTGGTCCATCATTCTGTGTATAGTGTATCGTAGTAGTGATATGTCTTATTTCTGACACAAATATATCTTTTAACATGTAGTTGCACATATTAGTACATGTCTAATAAAGTACGTATGGGGCTTGATTTGTTTGCATCCGGTGCAGAACGGAGGGCCGGGCAAGGACAGTGTCCAGTCGGAAAAATCGAGCAGGCAGTACCCTATAGCACACTGTATGATGCATGCTCCTCTTCATTAGCCGGAGGGTTGGATGGCCGAATGGTTAGCACGTGCGCACTGTCTTTGAGTCAACTGGCGTGGTTTCGATTCCCCGGTTGTACATGGGTTTTCTCTAGGTCTTCCGGTTTCCTCCCACTGCTAAAGACCCCTACGCGCAAGCGAATTATTGAAATAATATTGAATCATATGTTAGTCCCGAAATGACCCAGTTTGTGTTGAGTGGACATTGAACCCCATTTCTCTCTCTAACTCTTCATTAGCCCAGTCGATGCAGAAAAGTAGGATGTTAAACCCCATTTCATTTTATTTCTTTACATCTCATGATAAAGTGAAACATTCCAGTCAATTTAGTTTTTATAGAAACTAAAATATTACTAACTTAAAGAAGTTTTTTATTAGCAAATGGCATAACTCCTGTAATATGTTGCTGTGTGTACAAAGTTTCCTAAAGCCCAAAACAAAACTTAGGTGGACAGAGTCCATTTTAATATCCTTCTCCAACTGCCTGATCTCATCATGGGCTTTTTCTGGGTCGTCCAAATTCCTCCTGGGCACTGGAAACAAACCCTATGTGTAATCAAATTGTTTCAATGGCATTTAGTAATTGAACTGGAATATACAGGTGACAATTCTATATGGAATACAATTACTGCTTGTTATGATAATCACTAGAGAATCCTAGTCGAAACGTCGCTCAGTAATAAGCAGTAATTATATTCCATAGAATTCTGACCTATATGCTGCAATCCAATTATTGAAAAGAATTATTAGTCTAGTAATGACCTAATTTGTGTGGAGTGGACGTTAAACCCCTTTTATGTCCCTCCCTGTAACTGATTAACTCCATGTGAAACCTGCATTGCTTCTTAACTTTAAAACTTTTTACATTTCTACTCTATAAAGAAATATTTATATTAAAATTAAAGTAAATTATTCTTCCAAATCTGATATAAAATGATTTGTTTTTATTACAACTTGGTTAATGTATCTCAGCATATTTTAGAAACTGACATGTCATAATATCACAATTTTATACTTAGATATGTCATAATATCACAATATTGTATTTAGATATATAAATCACTTAAATTAACATTAAAGGCGGTAGAAGAAGTAAGTGGTTGTACTAAAGGAGGTATCTTGGAATCTAAATCAATAAATGGGGGTGCTGAGTTAGATTTGACAGTTCATTTTGGGGGAGCATCCCCCCTCCCCCTTATGCTACTGCTTTCCTTGGTAGTTATTTATGACAAATTTCTCAAATACTGTATATTTGTTTTTCCAGTTAGTTCAAGAGTTTTTATGTGAATCTGTAAAAATTGATAATGGACCTGATGCTCAGACTAGTCAACTTTATATAGGTACTGTTGTGTAACTAGAAATTTACTTCTAAAATCAAATGAAATGTGGTTGAATGCCCGTCCTACTCCTACTGGGGTAATAATATATGTACATGCATACCCCATACAGTGTGTGCTATGAGGGGAATTTTGTCCAGACAACAGCGCTACAGCCTAGTCTTATTTCGATTTCAACTGCCAAGATTCTAAAAGGGCTCTAGTTGTCTAATGCATGTGCTTTATATTTTACGGTCTGTCATTGAGTTTAGTGGCATGGTTTCGAACCCACACTTGTTTGTGACAAGGAGTAGGGTTGCTTGTTCAGCCTCGTGATTTTTCTCTGAGCACTCCAGTTTCCTTATTGAAATAAAATTGTATCATATGTTAATTAGTTCCTAAACAAATAATCCCAAGAAGTTCCTAAACAACCTAATTTGTGAGTGGATGTTAAACCCCATCTCTCTTTCAATCTCTCTCTCTCTCTCTCTCTGAAAGGGATAAAGTGTTTCTTCTCATATTTGAACAGTTTATACTAATGGCATCATTTTTTTGTCTTGTAGCCTGTTTCTGGGGACTGAGAGATATTGTTCAGAAGCTGCTAGATATGGGAGTGAGTAAGTATAAATTGTATTTGATTATCAGTTTTAACCCTTTAGCTGCTGGTCAGTGGTCACTATGGTCATCAGCTTACTATGCCCATTTATATTGTAGGCTATTCTTATAATAAAATGGGGAGTTGGATGGCCGAATGGTTAGCATGTGCGCGCTGTATCTTAAGGTCTATCATTGAGTCAACTGGTGTGGTTTCGATTCCCTGGTTGTACGTGACAAGGAGTAGGGTCGCCTGTCAAGCCTTGTGGGTTTTCTCCGGGTCCTCGGGTTTCCTCCCACTGCTAAAGACCCCTGCATGCAAGTGAATTATTGAAATTAAACAAAAATTGAACTATGCGTTAGTCCCGAAATGACCTCCCTCTCTCTCTCTCTCTCTCTCTCTCTCTCTCTCTCTCTCTCTTATAATAAAATAACTTGGTCCCAGGTAAAGTTTATGTATTGTTTTCCATGGCCAGTTGACAGTACCCCAAGTAATGAAAAGCTTACAACATACTTGCTAATTTTTACTAGCAATATGGTGTATCATTTTTAAATTTCAATTTATAATATTTTCAAACCAGTAAATAAATTCAGAAATGTAAACTTTAGTGAATCATTGTTTTTCATTTTTACATTTTTAATTTTCTTTTATTTACAAGATTGTAATAAACCGAATCCAGGTTCTATGTGGACACCACTTCATGCAGCTACATTTCAAGAAAATGGTCCTGTAAGTACCAAGCTTCTTAATTTTTTTTATTTCAGGCCAGAAATAAATAAAATTGACAAGTAACATTTACAATCATGTGCAATCGGATTAAAACACACATCCTATTTCGTTTCATTTTTATAGTTCAAAATTTCATTTTACTTGTCTTTACTACACTAAGATCTGGAAGAGTTGTTATCATTGACGTGTATTGAATGGTGTGAGGACATAGCCAATGAAACGGTCTGTTACGGCGAGCTCTTATGACCTCTGACGCGATCTATCGTTACAACCGGTCAGATCTTCATGTAGTGTAGGCCATCGAAAGTATAAAAAAACGAAACGAAATATAAATCTGTTTTTTAATCAGATTGAATCATGTGAAAAGGGAGACAACTCTTGTAGATACTAAGGAATAGTATTACTGTTAAAAACTGACTAGGCTTAAAGATTCTATAGGTCATTTTCTTGTAGGCCCTGTAATATTGTTAAAAATGGCCAAATAGGCCTACTGGTACAAGAGCTGATCAGTTTTATTTATGCGTACCACCTGTGGAGGTTGTGAAAAATTGTAAATTACAAACAATCCACAGAGGAGTAAGAAGGTCTTTTATAGTGGTCTGATTCCCAATATGGGTAAAACAATGGCAGGACGGAGAATGTAGTACTTATTGAATTTTGTCCTATATATCTTAAACACAGGATTTTGTTTTTGACTAACGTGCAGGACCCCGACTATACAACTATATTAATTGGTAGTTAGATATACATCTTATTATGTGGGATTCGACAGATCCATCGATCTACATGCTAATATATTTGTACCCTTCATATTGCAAACTATGGGATAAACGTGTTGAAAAGATTATGCTTTATTAAACTAATAAAAGTTCTAACAAAAGGTTGACTGTTAAGGTCATTTCTACTGCTTCTATTCCCCTGGGCCCTTATTCACGAAAACTTAAACTAAACTTCATTGGATATATGCAAATTGATTTTACTGGTCAGCCAATCGAATTGCAGTATTTCTTAAAATTTCGATTTTAACTTAGTTTAAGTTTTCGTGAATAAGGGCCCTGTAGAGAAAGAGACCATAATAAGAATTTGCATTAGAAATAAATGCCAAGCAGTACGTTGGCCTAATAATTAGAAATTAGATATAATTTTATGAAGAGTTATGATTATTTTGATCTGAAAGCTATAATGTATATATTTATACTAGGGGTTTTGTTCTAGATAGTAATGATGTTATTAGAGAACCATGCCAGGCCTGATATACCTGATGCTGAAGGAAGGTAATTTTATTTACAATAATCACATTCCCTAGAAATTAATCAATAATATAATAAGTTCAGCAGTTACTTGGGCAACAAGATAATAAAATTTCTTTTAAATTCCAATTAACTTTTGTTCTAGTAATTATGCATAAAGTAGCTGGTCTAGGCAATGGCCGTCTAAATACCATTAAAGGCCCCGTACAAGGCAGTGCACTTGGGCCTCTATCTATACAACCACTTACAGGAATAAATGGTTGATAAAATTAAACCTATAATTTATTGTACTAGTACATCCAACAAAATCAGTGTTTAAAATATGTATAGATTAGTATAATATAGTATATATTGACAGAAAAGTATTGTATTTGTACATCCAATAAAATTAGTGTTTAACATTAAAAACATGTATAGTTTAATTACTATAGTATATATTGACAGAATGTCACAATGTACATAGATTAGCATGGGACCCCTATGCTCATGGTACCCGATGTGTCCATTCGTTAAGACAAACTGTCCAGTACCTGTACGTGTAGAGATTTGACTCCATCTAGATTAACATATTTCATCAAGGGGAGGTTATGAACGACTGATTTCGATTATGATCATGAACGACTGAGATAGTGTGCTTAAATAGCGGCCTTTTTCTTGAGTCTGAGGGCAAAATTGAAATAATACCTCTGTTAATACTTTGGGAATATTTAAAAAAATGTCCCTGTCAAGTTTCATCTCGGCCTGTTTGCAAACAGCCGAAAAATAACTCTTTAAATGAACTATTCACAAAAAAGGAAGAGAAATGTGAACTTGAGTGGCACTTAAACATGCATTATGCAAGAGCTAAATCTTCCTATTGCAGATCTTTCTTTAGGCCTGAAATGTTATATAAATTATTAATTAGACATTTATTAACAAAACAGGACCATAATCAACTATCGATGGCATTGGATACGCAATATTTTAACTAGATTAGAATGGTTCGCCATTTAAAAATTTAATTTAAAAATGGGACAGCAAGGCTAAGTCTCGAATATACCAGTGCTCTGGTTACCACAAGGTACACATCTTGTCAAAACTACAGTGATTGGTTCAGAATGAAGTAATTTAAATCAAATTTTCAATATTTTCATTTTACATGATCTATTTTCGAACTATTATAGCAAGAATGGCTAGCTCTGTATCTAAATCTTACATAATGTGTCTTTAACTATTATAGCGAGAACGACCAGCTCTTTATCTAAATCTTACATAATTAAGAGACTGTGTGGTGTCCTGTCTCATAGGGTAAAAACTTTATTATGATAGTCAGAGACTGTGATTGAATCAGTAGATTTGTCAAATTATTTCTGTTCTATTTTCCGTCCTATGCAAGGGGAATTATGGAATAAAAATCCAGATCAGTTCCATAATGACCTGGTTTGTGTTGAGTGGACATTGATTCACAGTCTTCTCCGAGATGAAATTATTTCTATTATTTCAGAACACCAAAAGATTTTGCCTCTGTATCAGATATAATATGGCCACATTTTGCCATGTTGGGTTTAAAACGAACTTCAAGAGTTGATTTATTAGAGAAAAAAGTTATTAAAAGGGTGAGTACTGGTATATTGATGAATTTATATACGTATCCTAACATGTGATTCAATTTTATTTCATTAATTCGGTTGTAAGTGTCTTTAGCATTGGGAGGAAACCAGAGTACAAGGAGAAAACTAAATCAGGCGATCCTACTTCGTGTCACGTACATGGTGGGAAGCGAAACCACACCTCATGACTGAATGACAGACGCAGGTTTTAGAACAATTTACAACTCAACCCCATCTAGGGAATTATGCGCTTGGACTCATGTCTAGTCCAACGACTTCAAGCTGGTAGAGAAATGATTTCCTTTTACAATCAAGTACATGTATGGCAAAAATTTCACTCTTCTGTAGGTTCAACATGTTGAATCATTTAGTCCTTTCTAATCTGGTTTTAAAGACATTCTATTTAAAAACTAGGTGTACAATGTATGTTGGTTAAGCACCTAGAAATAATACTGTCTGTTATAATGTACAGGCTATAATAGTAGTTTTTATTTTCTTTTAAGTTCAAGAGAGCTTACAGGGAGATTTTTTATTTAAAAATGATATGAAATGTGGTTTAACATCCTACTGTCAGTAACGACTGGGCTAATGATTGGATTTAGTCTTGGATTTTGTGTATATAAAGCCAATAAAATCTTTAAATGTTTATTTTAGACATCATCAGGAGATCAAAGATATAAAGATCCAGCAAATGGTATTAAAATGGTAAGTACATATCTCTTTTTTTAACCTTTAATAGATAAGTGACTTAAGTGAGTTTAAATGATTTCCACAAGAAGACAATCTGTTTAAAACACAGATCCTATTTCCTTTCGTTTTTTATAGTTCAAAATCTTGGTTTTACCTGTCTTTACTACACTAGGATCTGGAAGAGTTGTGATATAACTTACGTTCTGGTTGATGTGAGGGATTAGCCAATGAAATAGTCTGTTGCAGAGACTTCTTGCTGTGCGATGCACGGAACAGAGGGTATTCAGCTAAAAACATCAACACTGACTTCATAGGTCAAAAGGGGGATTGGATGGCTGAATGGTTAGCATGTGCACGCTGTATCATAAAGTCTGTCATTGAGTCAACTGGTGGGGTTTCGATTCCCTGGTTGTACGTGACAAGGAGTAGGGTCGCCTGTCCAACCTCGTGGGTTTTCTCTGGGTCCTCCAGTTTCCTCCCACTGCTGAAGACCCCTACGCGCAAGCGAATTATGGAAATAAAAATGAACCATATGTTAGTCCCGAAATGACCTAGTTTGTGTCAAGTGGACGTTAAACCCCCTTTCTCTTTATTGAATTTTAAGCTAGCCTCGATCATCATTACTCAAGTCAGTACAATAAAAAATCAATATCTCATCCATTATCCATTTTTATGTTTAATTATTTTTCAATAAATGTATTCCAATCCACTATATATCGCAGGCTAGCGATGGCATCGATGATCGAGAGTTGATTATTGTCTGGATAAGTTAAATAATGTCTAATTAATAATGTAGATAATATTTTAGGCCTAAAGAACAACCTGTAACAGGCAGATTTAGTTCTTGCATAATGTATGTTTAAATGATACAAGAGATCATTACTCTAATGTTTAGTATGTATAAAATGTGGTTAGCAATTATACAGTAGTTATAAATGATGTTTAAACATCAATTCAATTTGTTTGTAGGCCTCATACAGTCGACCTGATTCTGGATATGCTATAAACAGTGATCCTTTTGTAGCTGCTGCTGCTACTGGTGATGTTTTAGCTGATGTTAATGATACGGATAAAAATAAAAATCAACCTAGAATGAATATATGGAAATAGTTTAATAAAAAGTCTATTAGGTTTATGTATAAGAAAAAATAATAGTTAGCAGCAACCTTCAAACAAGGACTTGTAACACTGATGCCTACAGACCTAGCTACTTACAGCCAGCTCACAATATTTCAGTTACCATTATGTATGAGTTAAAAACTCTCTCATATTATATATATGTCTAAAATATGTGAGCTGTGACACCCAAATGGGTCAAAATAGGCTAAAAACATCTTCTTTTTCAGAGCTTGCCTTATTTATTAAATCTAAACTTTTACCTTTCATGTTATCTTATTTAAAATGATATTTTTTAGCCTATTTTTATATTTTTGTTTATATCAAACAATAATGACATGTGAAGATAACAAAACAGCATGAACACCTTTGTGATGATGAATTATCCCTTCACATATTTACTTCATTGTTTTATCATCTTTATTAGCCCATTTCATTTCATATAATCATTAACAGTGATACGGCAGGGCGGGAGGGAGGGGGTATCGGTGATGTTTTATACTTTAAACTGTAGATCACATGTTTCGTCCCAGGCTTGTAAACAGGGTGGGAGGGAGGGGGGTATGAGTGATGTTTTATACTTTACACTGTAGATCACTTGTTTCGTCCCAGGCTTGTAAACGTCTGTTATCTAAACTTGAAATAAAGATATACCATGTGTTAGTCTTGAAATAAAGGTTAAATCCCCATTTTTCACTCTCAATATTTAAATGCGTGTTAAAAACCATTTCTCCCTCTCTCAATATGACTATTTGTATTTTAAATGGGTGTTAAATCCCACTTCTCTCTCTCTCTTAATACGACTTTGTTAATGTTGAATTGATGTTAAACCCCGATTTGTCTCTCTCAATATAACTTTGTTAATGTTGAATGGACGTTAAACCCAGAGTTGTCTGCCCCCATTTCTCTTTCCCAATATGACTTTGTTAATGTTGAATGGACGTTAAACCCTGAGTTGTCTGCCCCCATTTCTCTTTCCCAATATGACTTTGTTAATGTTGAATGGATGTTAAACCTTGAGTTGTCTCTCAATATGACTTTGTTAATGAAGAATGTTGAATGGCCGTTACACCCCAATATTCTCTCTTTATCCCATTAACATTGTACAGTATTACTATATATTATTGTTACAATCTGGTGACCAACATTTTAATGTAAAAATTATATTTTAAACTCTTTTTTTGTAAATGTTTTTTTCATGGAAGAATGCATTTAGAGACAAATGCATAGAATATACCTTTTATTATTTTATGTCTTTATTGTTGCATAATTTTATTTCTTTATTCTCTTCAGTTGTCAAAGTTTTTAATGTGTCAAATTTTCAAAATGAGATTTCATAAACATATTCAGCTAATTTTCAGCTGTTTTTTTAAATATTCAGCTGGGGATTTTTTTTTAGATATTCAGGTATTTATCAAATATTCAGGTATTTATCAAATATTCAGGTATTTATCAAATTCATAAGATACATATAAAATGATCAGATATTTTTCAACAGCATGTTCCGAATTTTTAGATATTTATCACAAATTTTGAAAATATAAACATGGATTATATCAAAATATTCTGATGAAATAAAATTAACCAGTCTATCTCTAGACAGGTTATGAAGATTATATTTATCAGGATATTCAGATTGAATTGATCAGATTATTCAGATTGAATTTATCAGATTATTCAGATTGAATTTATCAGATTATTCAGATTGAATTTATCAGGCCCCGAGTTCTCAAAGCATTCTCTTGAGTAAGTTACAAATTTACTCAACTTTCAATCACTGTTTATGAGAAATACCTTTGATCCAGAAACACAAAACTTTCCACATAGTTTCTTATTATGTATTTGATATATTAAAACAACAAAAGTTTTATAAAAGGCTATATTTTATTTAAAATAAGACAAACAATTTTGACCAGAATATTCAGATTGAATTTATCATACAGAATATTTAAATTGATTTTATCATATTTATCAGAAAATTTTGATGGAATTTTTAAAATATTTTGATAAAATAATCAATTTGTCATCTATTGTCAAAATTTTCGTATGGAAATTATGAGAATATTGAAATAGATTATTTTCATATTATTCATAAGGAAAGTTTCAAAAATATTCAGGTTGGATTGATCAAAAGTATTGAAAAGGATTTAGACAAAATAATCAGATGAAATTGAGTCAAATGTTTAGAATTTATAGTATGTTAGAATATTTAATTTATTGAATGATCTACAACCGCGTGGGTTTTCTCCGGGTCCTCCGGTTTCCTCCCACTGTTAAAGACCCCTATGCACACGCGAATTATTGAAATAAAATTGAACCATATGTTAGTCCCAAAATGATCTAGTTTGTGTCGAGTGGACGTCTCTTTGTCTTTATTGAATGATCATTATAGGGTAGTCTTCTAGTTATCACTATTGCAGTATTCACTCAATACATCGAAATATATATTTACATTACATACTAAGAAAGAATTATTTTAATATATGTTTTAGAATCTCATACATTGTTAAATGATGTTATATAGTTGTATTAAAAAATAAATTTTGATCTCATATACCTTGTTATAGTTTTATGTTTGCACGATTCAACAGTTTTTACTGATAAACTCATACTTATTGACCTAGTCCTTTTACTCAACAATCCAAACCGAGGGGGGGGGGGGTCTCCAGGTCCTACAGTTTCCTTCAACAGCTTAAGACCCCTACGTGCAAACAAATTATTAAAATAAAGTTGAACCATGTGTTGGTCCTGAAATGACCTAGTTTGTGTCGAGTGGACATTAAACCCCATTTCTCTCTCCTTTTACCCAACAAAGTTCAGGTCATTAATTGATATAAGTGATCATTACTCTAATGTTTAGCATGTATAAAATGTGGTTAGTAATTATACAGTAATCATTAAAGATACATTAGTTGAGAGCTAAATATGCCTATTCCAGGTCTGGGGGGTTGGATGGCTGAATGGTTAGCGTGCGCGCGCTGTATCATAAAGTCTGTCATTGAGTGACTGGCGTGGTTTCGAATCCCCGGTTGTACGTGGCAAGGAGTAGGGTCGCCTGTCCAACCTCGTGGGTTTTCTCCGGGTCCCCCGGTTTCCTCCCACTGCTGAAGACCTCTACGCGCAAGCGAATTATGTAAATAAAATTAAACCATATGTTAGTCCCGAAATGACCTAGTTTGTGTCAAGTGGACGTTAAACCCCCTTTCTCTCTCTCTCTCTCTCATAGGTTGTACGTGGCAAGGAGTAGGGTCGCCTGTCCAACCTCGTGGGTTTTCTCCGGGTCCCCCGGTTTCCTCCCACTGCTGAAGACCTCTACGCGCAAGCGAATTATGTAAATAAAATTAAACCATATGTTAGTCCCGAAATGACCTAGTTTGTGTCGAGTGGACGTTAAACCCCATTTCTCTCTCTCTCTCTCTATTCCAGGTCTTTCTATGGGCTTCAATGATAGAAATTATTAATTAGACCTTTATTTTGCATAACAAGCCCAAAGTCAACTCTGTAGACCCATGGATGGCCTGGATTTAAACAGTCATCCATTTAATAATTAAATCACTTAAATGGCTGACCAAGCTAACATTTATTACCTTTAATCACTGACGTCACTACCGGAGACTGTCGATGAAAGGACTGACAATCGAGGGTACCGTAGGCATTGAGAATGTTACTTGATAATCGAGGATATGTTGCGGAGTATATCGTCTGTTAATCAAACGATCTACAATTCTCGAAGACGGTGCGGAGACAGTTGATGCCTATTTCTAGTCCAAACTTCCAACAGTGATAACACCGTTCAGAATAAAGTAATTTGACTGAAATTTTCGATATTTTCTTTTTTATCATCTATTTTTGAAATGTTATAGCAAGAATGGCCAACTCTTTATTAAAATCTTAACTAATGTTAATTAACTGATGTGTAATTTATAGCTGTAGAAGATGTTACTACTATCGTTAAAGGGACCATCCCGATTTTAACAGACTCTCAGAAATAAAAATCCGTCTACGTATGAAAATTGAGCGTCAAAATATAGAGGAATGTATTTACCTTGTCTCAAAATTTCAGCTCAAAATAATGAGTCGTTTGGACGTGAACGTCAAAACCGCTTATCCGAACACGTGACCCTTTTAAGATTTCGGGTCAATTGTTTCGTTGGATGACCTGATAATCTATTGACGTTCCTTTAGAGGTGTAGACAAAGCATAGTCCACGTGAACGTTATTTTTATAAAATAAAAGTCTGGTTTTATCCAGACACCGTATAATACAGTTTGGGACACCGGTCTCCATTTCCAGATGAAGACTGACGGGTTAAGGTGTTTGAAAACGTATCGCGTATATTAAGTAAGTTGCTCGGCCTTAAGAGGATTTTAAGGGCTGTTAAAGTTACAATTTCATATTTTCTAAGAAAGTCAAAACATAATTATTTCTATGTCTTTTGCTCAATAGGTTGTCAACTCACTATTATACGATCATAGGTGTCATTCTCACACTTAAAACTCATTTACACCGGAAATAATAACACAATTACCTCCCTTGTTTTCTATTCTCCACCATGGAGTAGCTATCCTCAAACGTTTGAATTTGAAGAGGAAAATGATATTTGTGCCAATTTCTCAACTGGCAATAGTGAATTATAGAATTAATAGGATTATTCTTTAACAAGGTAGGACTGTTTATAGATACCATCTATTTTAAGGCTTTATTTTAATAAATTTTAGAAATATAACGTAAAAATATGAAATTGCAACTTTAAAACAAAATTATGCAGTTTTATTCTTCAAAATCTAATAGAGATTGGCTCTTTAAAGCGTGACTATTATTAATATCTAACACAATAACATACACAAATAGACCTATCCGAACGACTAGACAAGTGTCCTTGTCAGACCCTCCATCCTGCACAACTGGCAACAAGATCTCGAGTGGACACAAAAAAAAACAACCTTTATAACTCTTCAACTGCCACTGGTTACTTAATGTACACGCCAACTTTTACGCCGGGCCTCGGTTTTTCATACCGTCCGAATGACTAGAGTGATGATGTGCCTTGCTGGGCCCTCCGTCCTTCGCCCATAAGGAACTACAAAATCGAATAGGGGATCTCCAGATGCCATACTCGCTGAGTCACCGCGACGCACAAATATTCTACGTGTAGTTACAAGACCCAGATATTCATCTAGAGAATATCGGTAGCCGCGGTGGCTTAGTGAGTAAGACGTTGGTTCGCTAACCCGGAGATCCCGTGTTAGATCCCGGTGTTAGCCGAGAAAGTTCATCTGCGTTTTCCGGCGTGGTACAAGACGGGGGACTGGCAAGGGACAACGTATAGTCGTTCAGATGGGACAAAAAACTGGGGCTTATGCACACATTGACGGGCACGTAAAGGAAACCTTGACAGTTGGAGTAGGCCATAGCGCCGCTGCCCGGGCAAAATATCCCGCATAGCACACTGAATGGCGTATGCCCGTCTTCATTAGCCCATTTGGTGCAGAACAGTAGGACAGAAAAAAAGAGGGAGGGGAGA